AGAAAATCTCTCATGATTGTGTGTTCTGGCAAAAGCTTGTTTCTTTGTCTTTTTTCCGCTCAGATCATCTACAAAATAAAGAAGCATAAAGATCCGAGCATCACAGGGAGCATCGAAGATATTTGTGACAGAATATTTGAACTGGTGGACAAGAATAATGACAGTAAGTTGATGATTACGCCCACGTTAATATGGTGGCAACACAAGTCCTCTTCTCTTGTGCTCTTTTCTTGTTTTTGCTGTTAATGTAGCTACTTTTGGTGAATATAAACTGCTTGGATTCATTTAAAGACGCTGACTGTGTGTTCTTCTGAATTGTCCAGGTCAGATTTCTTTGGAGGAATTTATTGAGGGGGCTGAGAAGGACCCCTGGGTGTTGGAGCAGCTCCAGCTGGACATCGGGCCTGGTGATTGGTTCATTGAACAGCAGGACAAGAATCCCTGATTTCATAATATACAGTGTTTAGTTTCATGACAGATGATTGGACACTGGGTGACAGTATCGTGCTGCATTGCGTTTTTGACCTATCTGAGCCTGAGACTGAGGATAATCTCCGGTTGTGGGACCTGCCAACAGGTGACTGCTTGGAGATGCAGCCCCAATCTTCCATCAAATCCTTCATTTCACCACGGTTTCTTTTTTTTCTTTGGTCTTCTACTTCTACAGAGCGTGAGGACACAGCCACATGTCATGGCTGAAGAGAGTCTGAAGTCTTTCCTCTTAATTGTTTTTTCCATCTGGGAACTGCTGCACGGAGTTCACAAACTGACTCACCCAAACTGTATGAAGCTACGTTTGCCTTCAGTGTAACTGTGGATCAGGATCCAGTAATACATGTTCAGAGATTAATAGCAATCAGTTGAATCACTCTGTAGCAACACGTAATACTTATCTTCTCTCGTGTGATATTATTTTTAAATAGTTTTCCAAAAATGTCTTCACTGTTTCTGTATTTCTCTGTTACCAGTTCAGCATGCCAATTGTTACAAGAAGGCAATAACAAACAGCTGTTTGATTCATCTTCAGTTACACCATCCTGTTAAAGGAACACTTTCACATTTTTGGAAAGATGCTTATTCAATTTCTTGCTGTTAGTGAAATAAGAAGATCAATACCACTCTCAAGTCGGTACGCTAAATATACAGGAGCAGGTGGTTAGCTTAGCTTAGCATAAAGACTGGAGGCAGGGAGAAACGGCTAGCCTGGCTCGGTCCAAAGTTCAAAAATACACCTACCAACTTCTCTACTGTTCACTGATTAACACGTTTCTTATTCAATCTGAACAAAGGCTGAAGAATGATAAGATGTGGTTTTACAGGGACTTATGTGCTGGACTATTTCTTGTCCAGACACAGTAGGTCTCTGAAGTCTTCACTGATTGCCTGGCAACCTCACGGTGATGGATTTTTAAAAAATCTGGACAGAACCAGGCTTGCTGTTTTGAAACATTGTCCTTCAACTCTGACTACGGTTGAGCACGGAGCATCATTGATGTGAACACAGAATCCGCTCCCCTGGTTTTGCTGTTCCTCCGTCAAATGCAATAGCTTGATCTGGGATGTTGTGTGAAGATTTGGGTCCTGCTGTTTCTGATTTCCAGTTGCTGTGTTGGCCTTCGTCCATTCCTGTTTCCTGTGACTAGCCAGGAGTAGGCTGGTTAGTGGAGCAGCCTTAGGTCCAAGCTGGGTTGGTTGAGCTCTTCTCCCGGTTCTCTTCCCCCTCGTCCTGGTCTGGCTGGAATCTGGCTGGGTGGTCAAGATGTTGTGGGCAGTGATGGAGATGGTGATGAGTTCATTCTGACATACTTACTTCTCCGATGGCTATTTTGCCATAAGAGCTGCAACATAAAAATGTCAGCATTTTATACATCCAATAACATTTGGTGGTTTGTCTCATCATCAGTGAATTCAGAGCAAACGATCTCAATCCTTGAAATGTACTGATGATATTTTGGGGGGTTGTCTACGCTTTAAGTCAAACTTTTTGTCGACATTTGTCTCCAAACTCGAGCTGAATTCCTTCTGTTTTTAAAAAGCCTGCTAAACACCAAACTGTATGCAAACTCTCCCTACGTTGGGCCAAATGATGGTGATATTTTAGCACGTTGTCTTGATGTCAACAGAGATCAGTGCATGTATATACAGTAATCACAGCTTTATTATTGTCTGTAATCCTCTTAACCTTCTCTTATCACGGTGTGACCAGTTTAAAACTCAGAATACATCTGTGATGTATGTATTGAAGTAACTGCTTCAATGTGTTTTTTTATCTGTACTATTGTTTTCAGAGGTCGTCTGAATGTGAGAGATAAAGACAAAAAACTACGGCAGCGATAAGGAACAGAAATGCAGGAGAGGATGATAACTGCAGTGTGAATTAGAGTCGAGTGAAAATGGAAAGAAAGGGGAATCGATTGGTCATGGAAATGTACTGTTTTAGTTATGTTTTTTATTTATGAGCTTAACTCTTGATTTTACCCTAAACAAGAATACAGACAAACATGCTCTGTCAACACTCACCTCATGGAGACCTTATAGGATCTTTTACTATATGGATTTAGCCTGACTTACTATTCTTAGTCTTTAAGGCTCTTTACCCAACAGTATGATAATCTTTGGCTTCACAGGGACACAGAGGACCATAGACGTAGATATTTTTAGAGTTGTAGATAACACATCATACCACTCGTGTGGTTTTGCATTTGTACATAAACATATGTAAATAGTCTGCAGCGTGTGAGGAGTGTGTGTGTGTGTGTGGGGGGGGGGTCGTTTGTGAAGCCTACAAAGAGCCTTAAAGGCTAAGAGGAGTAAAACTAGGTAATCCAGACATTAAAACGTCCCACAGGGTCTCTTTAAAGTCACTGGAGAGTTAAGGTGACAGTTTCTATGCACATGTGTGTCAGCAAGCAGACTTTAAATAGTTTTGAAATGTATAAACTGGCAAATATTGCAAAGCTTGTTTCTGACTAGAAAGCAATGAGAAAAATGGACTATTCTATATTCTATATTGTAGTCCACACTAATCAACCCTTTCAACAAGGCCATTGATTGGTTCATTTTCTGTACTAGTGTTGTAGTCAGACCGCCCAAAACGAGACCACGTCAAGACCAAGACCAGAGCTTATCAAGACAGAGACAAGACCATGACTTTTAGGGGCTGAGACCAAGTCAAGACCGAGACCAGTTCCCCACATTACATGACACACAATAAAAGGTGGAATGACATCTGGGTACTTCTCAAATTGATCTGAAAGATCCACATTCCTATTAAAGCACCCACATACAAACACTGAGAGCTGAAATCAACGTCAGCATCGCAGGGAGGGGTGACAGTCCTTAACGGTAACAACATATTTTTATTAGGCTTACTGGTTGCATTTGAAGCAATAAGTTTTGCATCCAATCAAAGTTCGGATGTTAACAAATAAATCAGACGATGCAAAAGCAAGTTATTGATATTCCCAAAGTTATGGTCTTGACTTAAAATCCCGAGTCCTCAGTGTCCGAGACCGAGACAAGACCGAGTACAAATGCGGTTGAGTCCGAGACGAGGCCGAGACCATCACAAAGACCGTCTCGAGTACTACAACACTAATCTGTACCACTATTCGATTACCAACCAGGCAAAATGGTCAACTTCCCTGAGATCCCAGACCTTGAGGGGCCCCAAAGGCCCCAGGTTCACTGTGCACAAGTGCAAATTTGTTTGGAAATAGGTGCCTCTAAATTGGAATGTCAACAGAAATGATGAGCCTGGTTGGTGATTATTACTTAATGTTAACGCCCTGTGCAGCGAGTCCTCTAACAAAATATAAATGTACATAGAAAAAGTAAGAACTAAGCCTAACCCTTGGTACACATTCCTAAATAAGCGTGCGTATGATCAAATTAGTGTGCAATAATGTCTCTGATATAAGGAAGCTGACATGTGTAGTCTGCTGTGTGGGATGTACCTGATGGCCGCTTGGAGGCAACTGGTAAGATAAGACACAATAGTCTGCAGAGAGCGGGAGGAGAGGCGGCTAATGGGGCTTCCCAGCTCATGTTTGCCTCAACAAATCTCTGCCCCAAACGACAGACAGACAGACCAAAAGAAAGACAGTGACTGGCAGGTGAACGCAGTGGAATGTTTTGCAGACTTTTCTCAGCAGTTGGAGGAGACCAAACCAGAGCTAAAAGGAGAGCACACATTCCAGCTGGCCAGACGCACGATACTAAAGCAGATGATGCACTGAGCAACATTTAGAGCTATGGTGCTGGGCAATGTTGTTGTCACTGCTCATGAGTAAAGATTACCACCATAATCCCCTTCCCCCACCACTCTGCCACCGGCCCCGCACCGGCGCTAGTCGGACTTGCCACCAGCAACATTTCTCAAAAAATTGCACCGTGTATCATCAGCTTAAAGGAATGCTAATGTTTTCCAAAAAGAAGTGGATAATATGTTGTGCTTATTTGTTGCTGCCCCTAGTTATAGAAATAAAGTAATACAGATTTAACGCTGATGTGTAGATTAAAAAATGTCAGACTTTAGTTCCCCCAGGGGCAAGTATAAAAAAATGCTTGCATTTATATGTAATTTAAAATTGTTTTTTGTAGTTTACAGTTGTGCTAACTAAGTTTGCAATGTATTTATGTGTTGACATTCTACCTTTCTCTGTTTGGATTATTTAAAGGTCAACGACTAACCTATGAACGTGGAGCTTATTACAGAAGGATGGCAATTCTTTTTTCAAAGAAAAATAATCTCTCACACGAGCAAAGTGATCCTCACAACGCAGTTTGAACAAAAACGGAAATAACAGACAGGTCATTATCTTGGTGTTTGCTTCCTCTTTGATGGAGCAACACGGGCCTCTTCTGGAGTAAAAACATATCATGAGCTAATTGAAGACTTCACCTCTGCGTAGCTCTGGCCGGTCCGATCATATCCGTAACCTTTATGCACCTTTTTTTTTTAATCGATGATAATTATACAAATGGTGAAAAGATGCGTGTCCTCGAGACAGCATTGCGCATGCGCAGATTCCTCCCAGTTGTCTGTTGACAAACGTGACCAAATGCATATCTCTGTCCCGTTTGCAAATCCATCGCCAAGTGGAATAAAATGTAATTTCCCGGGATTTTGTCGACGTTGCGAGGTTTCAGGTGGGTTCTTTACGACGGCTGTGAATCCGGTGTTCATTTAAAAGTAACATTTAACGGACCGAGTGGACAGTCAAAATGCAGTTCAGTGCTAGCTGAAGTTAGCATGCAGCTAGCTAAAGTTAGCCAGCTGGATTCACGTTACTTAGCGATAACTCGTGTCTGTTTAAGTAACTGCCCGATTTTCCGACGCCAGCCAAACCCCCCCGATGCCTTCTTTAAGTAGAAGTGTGAAACATTTAGGGTTAAAATGAGCGGTTGCACGGGTTAGTCAGTAACATTTGGGGGATGCAAGCTAGTAACTTAACGCTAGCTAATGTCAAAACGTCCGACAACTTTCAGTGACGCTAGACTTGTTAGCAGTGTTGTGTTTGAAATAGTAATGTTCTCCAGCTCAGTCAGCAGTATATTCTGCAGAGTTGTCTGTCTTCAGGCGTTAGCATCTGCCTGCAGGGTTTTTAACAGTATTATGTAGTTTCTTATGTACATGTTCGTGATGAATGTGTCTCCTCGGAGAACATTTGAATTTGAAGCATCACGCAATCAGGGAACATTTCTACTCCACAGTTCACCTGCTCCTTTTTTAAATGTTTTTGCTAATTTCAAATAAGTCAATGGATTTTTGTTTTTGTGTAAATAAATGACATAAAAGTTGATGGAAATATGTCAGACATTTTCATTTAGGGTAACTAGCTTACTGTGGTATGCATGAGAAAACCAGTTTGACCTGATTTCCCCTGCATCACGTGGGCTGGGCTGAATGAATCCGGCTGATCATGCACCCTGTCAGTGTCCCTCCACCTTACACCAGGCCTCAAGTCCCGGCCCGTTCCAGTTGTTTGTGCACAAGACAAACCTGTCAGTCTGGTTTTAAACAAGGTTGTTGTTGTTTTTGCTGCTGAAATGGAGCCTGCGACCAGCTGTGAAGTGACACAGTCTGCTTGGCCTGCATCTGGCCTGCTGCTCAGGTTGCCTGATGAATTGACCTGAAAGCATGTACGCCTTGATCTATTATCTGTTATTCTAGGGTGCTTGTAAATATTTTAAGGAAGGAACACAGTGTAAGAGAGAGAGTGAAGTCTTATGTTGCCTGCAACTCTATAAGGGCTGACCTGCTCTGTGTAATACAGTACGAGTCCTGTTCTTTGGCTCAGCCACCGCCTGGGAACCATAAAATGAGTTAGGTGGTTTATCATCTGTGTTGTTTGCTGCTGATGCTATACATCGTTTGACATGTAAGGTCCTCCAAGCTACAAGGCAACAGCAGCAATATAAAAGTGTCAGTGTCGCAGTGAAGCACCATTCTGAGACTATATTGCTGTGTACAGTTTAATTTCAATTTGAAACAGGATGTTTGATGAGTGACCAAATCAGTGGAATAGGCAGTTTCAGCATCCTTGAGTCTAGTTTGAATTTATGACTAGCCATGCATGGAGGGGATTAAAATAGAGACAGAATGGGTCTGATAAATAATGAATACTGACTAAACAGTGAAATACTAGAGAGCCCAAATCCGACCACCACAATGAAGTATTTACTCTGTGTGTGTGTGTGTTTGTTTTAGGTCTGAACTGAAACCATGCTGAAGTGGTTATCCGGTGAGGAGGGAGCGCCTGGCTCTGTAGTAAGTACACATGTGCATATTTGTCATTACTTGAATGGTCACATGTACTGTGTCAGGTGACTGGCATCGAGGAACCATTGTAAGCAGTAACGGATCCCGCAGTTACACATCTGAGTTCAGAAAGATCGTATATTTATGAGTGAGTAACATGTCTCACAACTTGCTTCCATCGAAGCGTTTAAAACAATCCTGGATGTAAAATAATGGCTGTAAAACTGAAGAGAAACGCTAATGTGTGTCTGAAATCACAACAAAGTGTGTTGCTCTATTCATACATCTTTAAAATGAAATAAATGTCACAGAGTGGTCGTTGAGTTTAGTCAGCACTGACGACGTTAACAGAATCATTTCATGTTATCTATCTTGTGCAGCCAAAGCTCTGCTGTCTGTTTCATTTCCAGATAGACTGGATTTAGGTAGACTGCTGAGCACGGGGCTTTGACACAATCACAGCTCACACTTCCTGTGAGGGGTGACCACTGCTCCAGCTTAAATCCCCCCACGCATGCCCATCCTATTTTCTCTGCAGCTTATATATCTTATATATCTTTATATTATTAGGTCTTGCTAGGAATGATTCATACAATCGCTCGTATTTTTACTTAATACAAAACATTGAGTTTAGCTCGTTCAGTTCTCACCCTCGAGTTATCTCCTACGTCTCTTGTTCCACCTGACCTGATACACAGGATTGGTATGGTGACCTTTACTGACCTTAGTAGATGGGCTATGTATCGGCTAGGGCTGCGCGATATGGCCAAAAATATTATCATGATAAAAAATATAATTTCTTTTGATGTCGTTAATTATCACGATTATTTCCTTTAAGTTAAGAGGCAGATTTTTTTGCTCCTGAGGGAAATTGACAGGTAATTGTGGTTTTAAACTGTTCGTTATGGTCAGAATATGATAAACATTGTAGTTAAGTTTACAAATCTGAGGTAGAACCTTCTAAACAAGTATGATAAAATCTTAAAATTAAGTTAAAAATCTTTTCACTCCCTTTTCCTCAAGAAAATAAAATCTTAATTGAAATATAAAGTGCTAATTTGTTTCTGATTCAAAACTAATTAAATCAAACATTTATTGAAAAGGTATTATATTGTTATGGAGGAAAGTGAAATTGCTTTAAGTTCATTTGTTGTCTGACTAGGATGTGCACTTGATGCAGCATTGAAAACCATCTCTGTGGTCACAAGCCCCCCATCTCTCCTGTCTCTCCCCAGGGCCCGGGCTCCCCCCACGGTGCTGCTGCTGCTGGAGAGGTTGCTGTAGATGAAATGGCAGAGCGGCTCACCCAGACGGAGCAGCTTGTCACTCAGCTGAAGGAGATGATCCGGGAGAAGGATGCTGCACTTCGCTCCAAAGATGACCAACTTAAGGTGAGGACGATCTCCTCGCTGTCTTCACAAGTCAGTAACAGGAGTAAATGCCAGCTGAAAGTTGATAAAGAACGTTATGTGCACTGTTGAAGCGCTCTGTTGGCTCTATGAAATCATCATTATTGTGTAATTATTTGTACAGCATACTGTAGTTGTTTATGCCCATCAGTTACTGTGTAACTCTCTGTATAACACTCGCTCGTTCTGTGATTGTCTTAACCATGACACTGGTTTTGTTTTCAGTATGTGTCTCATTTGCCAGTTTAATGTTATCTAAATGAAAGTGTCATTGTCAGTTTGTGGGTTTAAAGTTCATTGTCTTCAGTTGTGGTTGGGGGCGCTCTGTTTACTTCAGTCTCTGTGTATTTATAATACTGATATGTTAATTCCATGTGTTATGACGTGACGTGGGCTTTAGCTGATGCCGTTCTCCTGGTACTAAATGAAATGAAGCACGCTCTGGGGCCTTGTATCTGACTGAGCCAGGCACAGTTGGTCACATGGCTAATCTAAAATAGTTTGTAATGCTTCAGTGGCTGCTCCTGTTAGTCACTGACTGAGATCACTAGTTAACTATTAAACTCCCAAGTCAAAGTCTACTACACAATAATAATAGACAGGAATGTGAGATTAGAGTTCAGCCATCACTGTAAATGTTTGGTTTAGAAGCACATTTACAGGAGAGTGCAGAGAGGAACACACAGGTCATCATTAGTACAGGTACTAAGACAACAACAGGCAGTTGAAGTGCATATATATATATTATACATATCTGTAGAGGTAATATACAGTATGCACAGTGTATAATTAATGTACTAAGATATTTACAGCATGAGCATGTGCAGCAGTTACTGTAGGCAGGGAGGGTAAAAGTAAAAATATAAAATATATAGTTCAGGTGTAAGTACAAGTATTGCTAATAGTGAGATATCGTATACAGAACAAACAGCTGGAGTATGAATATGGTGTATACACTATAGATATGTATATGATATGTACAGACAGGTGTATAAATATGAACACGCTATAGGTCAGATATATACAGCATGGATCTCGCACTATTAGTCATATCTTTTTTGGTAGCATCTGCTCCAATGTTTAAATAGTGTCTGCTTCTAACTGACCAAACTGAAGAACATATTGTGTGTGACGCAGGTGGAGAAGGAGACGTGTGAGGCCAGATTGTCAAAGCTGCGTCTCCAGAATAAAGCCAAGGTGACGTCCCTCACCACACAGCTGGAGGAGCTGAAGAAGCAGCAGGGAGGTCAGGGCACGCCAACACACAGCAAAAAGGTACTGGCGCAAACGCACACACATTTACGGTGACAGTACATGTGAAAATGAACCGCAATTAATAGATAAATTCCCCAAACCTCACCACTATGTGTGTGATTCTAACTTTACTTTGTTGAAATCCTAATTCAGATTAAGCAGTGAGAGATTTTCACCACTTGGGGGCACAAAGGCTCTGATGCAAAGTCACTGTAAAACACACGTACTATTGGTTTAAGTTATTGTGGGTAATATGTTGACACAGAGCAATGTGAGCATCCTGTTTGAGTCATGTTTCTGATCTTCTTGCAGTTATAGTCCAACGCATGATCTTCTAGCGTTGTCTTGTCTTGTTTCCCTGTAGGGGTCATCAGAAGGAGAGCAAGCGAGTCGGGGCAAGATTGTCTTGCTGAAGAAGAAGGTCGAGGAACTGGAACATCAGCTTGCACAAAGAGTGGAGGAACTGGGAAACATGGTAAAGTATCTACAGGCGAAGAAGATAAATTCATTCTCCTCATGAGCTCATATATAAACTATGTTATTTCAACTGAGCGGTGTCACAAAGAAGCTTACGGGTAGAAGATTAATTACAAATACTTTGTTATGGCTGTTAAGCCCAGAGGACGCATCAGGACAGACTTCCTGTCTTGTTAGTGAAGTCAGCTTACGTGGTTGATGGTATGTCTGTGACTTGTTGTGGTTGACATATTGGATCACCGGGTGAACAGTTGTGCGTGTTCAGCGCCTAAATACATTTCTCATCATTTGCTGCTGCCCTATGGTGCGTCCAGACCTCTCAGATCGGGATCAGGTCTGCTTTCTGTCCCCAGAGCCAGAACTAAACACAGTGAAGCAGCGTTCAGTTATTATGCTCCACATATCTGGAACAAACTCCCACAAAACCCGAGGTCTGCTGCAGCTCGGTTCTTTTAAATCCAGCTTCAAAACAATTCAGTTTGCCACTGCATTTTATTTAGTAGTTTGGCCTGTTTTATTCTATTTGGGCTTATTTTTATCTTCAATTTTATTTTTCTTACATTTGTATGGTTATCTGAGGTGGACAGGTATACATTTACACACAAGCTTTGAAATTTGAACGAATATCATTATTAATTTCTTCCAGAGGAAGGACGCCGAGTCACAGCGGCAGCGAGGCGAGGAAATGGACGCTATGCTGATTGAGAAAGACAAGAAGCTGGCAGAAAAAGAGGCCTACATTGTCCACCTGCAAACAGCGTTGGCAGGAGACCAGCCCATCACACCTGCACCACAACAACAGGTCATACACCTCACAAGAATGTGGTGTGAACATCAATACAATACAATACATACACAATGTGAGATTAGGACAGAAGAAATAATAAGAGTTTACGGTATGCCCAGGCATTCATTTGTTTATGTTCAACCCAAAGGGCAGTAATGCATGTTTATTACCTTCCCCTGCTCTCTCTGTAGAGTGTTGTAAATCCACTCATTGAGGCTCACCTGTGCTTTACCTCCTCAGGTGACAGAGGACAGTGGAGCAATGCAGGAGCTGCAGCTGCTGGTGCAGAGCCTGACCAAGAAGGTGGGAGAAGCAGAGGAGCGCTACAGTTTGCTGCAGGAGCAGGCGGACAGCCTCAGAGAGCTGCTGGCGACAGAGAAGGAGCAGTACAGTCAGAAGGAGAGCATGTACAAACAAAATGTAGGTTTTCAAAGCACTCAGCTGGTACTCTGGCATATTTCTGAATGGGGGCACCGGAGCGTCTTTTCCAAGCAGTGATGCTTCTATTGCAGAATTTGATACTGCTGTCTGTATTTGCAATCTCCTGTCTGATGAAGCACCCTGTGTTTGTTTTTAGATCCAGACGTTCAAAGACATCATCATTCAGAAAGATAACCAGCTGACGGAGATAAACCAGATGCATGAACAAGAGCTCTTCAAGTTAGCAGCAAAGTCTGATGCCAGTGCAGACTTAGAGCAGGTAGTGACTGCACTCATTTCAGCTTAACTTGTGTTAGGAACAGCTTCTGTCATCTCTTTGTAATACGTTTGTAACGCCTGCTGAAAGATTTATTTCTGTTCAGTGTAACGATCCACAGTCAAGGCGCCGCTGTAGACCGGTGATTCTGGTTAACACATGGAGTTACTGTATGTGTTGTGTTTAGTCTCATTGAATCTGTGTAATTGTATTTTTTTGTATTATCCTCCTCAGCTTCTGAAGGCTCTAAAACAGAAGCTTCATGAGAAGGAGGAGGTGCTGCTGGGTAAAACCCAGGTCATTGACGTTCTCCAGGGAGAGGTGGACGGCAGGGACCAACAGATAAAGGTCAGAATAACATCTCTTCACTTTAAACATTTGTTTCCTCTTGGTATATATTTTATGATCACATGCTTGGCTTTTAATGATGCCTACAGAATATTCTCCCTTGATATATGTAGTAGCCATTCCTTAACTCCATCTTCCCCGTCATTCCCCTGCCTGTCCTGCCTCTTCATTGTCTTTTCACCCCACAGGAACTTGCTGAGCGGCTGCGTCGGCTACAAGTAGAACGAGAGAGCTTGGAATCCAAGATGGAGGCAGAGAAGCATGTGATGCGAGCGCAACTTCGTGACCTGATGGAGAAGCAGCAGGCGGAGGTGCAGCGAATGGCTGAGCAGCATCAGGCACAGATGGCCCAAACGCAGCAGGATCTCCTGGGGCAGCTGGAGGAGATGAGGAGGGCTGCGGTAACAGCGCCACCTGCCAGTCAGGAGCCCTCAGCAAGTGGAAACGTGCCCGCAGATTTAGCCTCCATACAAAGGATAGCTGAGCTGGAAGGTTGGTTGTTTTTCATTTGGGTTTGTCATCCTCACTGTTCACCATACATTAGAGTGAAAGCTCGTCGTTTTTACAGCCCTTCATCAGTAAATTCTCGTATTACCCACATCAAGAGGACACTTTTCACCACGTTTAGCACTGAATCAGATGCAGAGTTTTTAAATCTTATTTTTAGATTTTCACCCAGATGTTTACCCATTTTGTAAAATATACAAATAGAAGTAAAATTACCCGATTTTAATAAAACAATCAGCCCTATTAAATGTAAATAAG